GCAATTCCACAAAATAGATCGCTATGCAGATTCGTCATTAAACGGTGCGCTCGTTATGCTAGGCACCACTGTATATCATTAATCTATTTAACTTTAATGTCTCATTCACTTGTTGAAATTCAGTGGTTTTAAACTGCAACTAGAGTAGGCCCATTTAATCATTGGAACTCATGCAGGAGTTGACTCACATAATCCCTACTGATTCAACAAACCTACTTAGAATCTTAGAATTTCATAGCTGGAAACCTGTTTCCTATGGGTCATCAATTCGGAGGTACAGTGGGGAATTGAACCCCAGACCTTTGGCAGCCAGATACCTGAGCCACTGAGGTGTCCAGCTTTTGCAACTTACTACTGGATTTCTGCGACTAATTTTGAAACTTTCTCAAGCAATTCCATTCATTTAATGTCTCAAGGTGGTAGATAACTATTAAGTACTACAAGGCTTTAATGTGGCTTCTGGATATAAGACCTTCAGCACGGTTTATCTGTATATTTTCAGAAGGCAGATACGGTAACAAATGGATAAAGTATGAAGGTAATTCTGTGAAAGTCAATAAGTAGCTGGAAGCTACAATTTAATAAGTGTTTGGACATATCTGACTCAGATAAGTTCTCTATATTTTAGTTCTCATAGTGTTAAAAGTGATAGATGTAGTTTGAATCCAGACACCATGTGGGATTAGGTGTCAGGGGAAATAAGTGGAAGCAGGGCATTTGAAATCAATATATTGCCTCTGGGTGCAACATAATACAGAGAGAATTTGCAGAAATAGAAACTGGGAAATAGATATTGGAGCAGAATATGTTTCAGTTTATAAGCTGACCTTGGCTCTTGTGCAAATGTATGTATGAAAATCAGTGGGAGACTTTTCAAAACTGCAAGTCAGCTTGTGTTGAGGCAAAAAAAGTAGCTGTGGAAGGGAAAATCCTGGATTTAAAGAGTAGGAGCTTTATTTATAGCATGATATAAAATAGTTTGTATGCTAGTTATGCTGGTGGAAGAACTTGAAAAAGTCCCTTTTTAAAACTAAAAAAAAAGGACAGCTCATGCATTTGGGGATCTAAGGTGACTCATATTCATTTTGATTAGCATGCATTTCTCCCTAGGCAGTTTTTATCATGTTGAGTGTTTGACACTAAGTTTTCTATAAAGGTTTTATATTCCAAACCAAAAACATTCAATTACTAAGTTCTTTTGAGCCCAAAAGTTGAACAGTTTTCCCTTAAGCTCCTGGTAACGCTCATCTGTGGAACAGAATCTTGCACTTCAGGAGGGGAGCTGTGTAGTTTGCTCAGATACCTTACGATGAGCATTGAGTAGCTTAACGGTCTGCAGCAGAAGACAGGTACCATTCCCTTTCCCGATCATGAGGTCTTGTGTAAAAGGCACCTTATCTCGGTGCAGAGATAATAGTATTAGTAGAATATATAGGCTACCTGTCAAGTGAAAAGCTTACTGCTCCCGATGAGTAGCTCATAAAACCATATGCAAGAAGATTCAGTGTGTGGGCAGAACTCTCCCCATCATATTGGATTCAGGAATAGACATCTTGTGCTCAGGTTGAACAGAGTGAAAAACCTTTTCCAGTTTTCTATACACTGTTGTTTTTGGTGTCTGCATTGACTCCTGTATTTACAAAGTAATGCAGATTTGATTGGACTTTGCATTTGAATATGCAGTTGAAGAAGGCATATATGAATGTCAGCCATGAGGTTTTTAAGGGAACATGTGCAAAGCTACCTCAGGCACAGAAAGGTACATCGCAGTGCACAGAAAACATGCTTTGCATAGAAGAGCTTCCAGGCCCATTGTTTGCCGTTGCCAGTTGCAATAGGATCAGGCAGCACCTGTGGGAAAGACTTCTGTCTGAAATCCTGACAACGGTTGTCAGAGAAGAGAATTCTCAAGAAGACAGTCAGTCTGGCAGTATGAGATGGTGTACTGTATTCCTACAGTGGATCTATCTAGTCCAGGTATACCTATTTTGACCAGTAGCAGCTCCCCTAAGAATTCAGGCAGAACTCTCTTTAGATTCCAGGGAAACCTTCATCTTGCTTTCCAATTCTACGAAATAATGTCACAGTTGTGCCAGTTAATAGTGCCTGTTTGAGGTCACATTGTATGTCAAAATATGTTCTCTTTTCTTGTACAGAAAGTAGAATGATATCTGAGAACATGGGAATTAGCCATCCCTGTTCTAGAATGCCTGTTGATGCAACAAAATCCAGAGATGGCATCAAAGTCAAAGGAATTCTCCAGGATTAAATGGGGAGAGTGTCAGTAAACATGTGCCTTGAAAACATACAACCTTTATACCAAATGAGGAGATGTTCTAGCCTGGTTGAGATGAGAGTGCTAGGGAATCAATTGAAGCAATGTGTGTTCAGCTTCAATACCAACAAAAATGATGCATTTTCATGCAGTGGGAGTGATGTGGTTGCTACTTCCCATTGCTCTGACAATGCCAGCATATAGGAAAAAGAACATTGTAGGGATATGTGCCAGTTGCTCTCCATTCATTTACGTTTTCCTACAAGTGAATAACAGTTGTTTGCAGACTTTGATTTCCTGTAGACAGATGCTACCAGTACAGTTTAGAAGGAAGTCAGGGGCTATGTAAGAGCAGATAAGGGAACGTGAAGCAGCAGAGCTTAGACCAAAGAGGAAAGGTAAGGAAAATTGCACACAAAAGTGGGAATTAAAGGCAGGAACTATGTAATTGTCACGTTCCGTCAAGTTGCTTTGGACTTATGACAACTTCAGTAAGATTTTTCAAGGTACATTCAAAGAAGAGTTTACCATTGCCATCTCCCAGTGAGTTTCTATGACCAAGCAGGAATTTGAACTCAGGTTTTTGGGTCAGGAATCCAACACTATATCCACTGCAGTGTATCTTTACACATGTGGAAATATCTATATAATGTTCAGATACCAAATAGATGCGTTTTTAGCTACAGTATGCATTCATAACGTTCATATACAAGCTGTGTGCCCTTTTCAAATTTGACTGCCTCATGGGAGGTGCACTTGGGCGACAGAATGAAGACTTCAGAGGTGAGAGACAGGAAATGTGGTGCACCAGGCCTAGCTTATTAAAATCAAGATTGTGCTAGAGTCCATTTATTGTCACAAGCATCTTTACACATAATAAATTTCAAATATTTGATACCTGTTTTATGGTCTATTTTGAATTCATCAGTTCAGTCAAGTTCAACTTTTAGCAGCCGTGTACCCTTTCCACTGTTATTAAGTTCATGACATTGAAGGGAGTTCAGAGTGGCATCTAGAGTCTCAAAAGAGCAAAGATATAAACAGATGTGTTGGGCTGAAAACCAACATGTAAATATTTTGCTTCTTTCTGGAGATATTGATATGACTGACTCAGGGTTTTACCAAGTTTTTGTGTTTTTTATTGCATAATTCTGACAATTTGTGTTGTCCAGAAGCTCCTGTTGTTTAGGTTGTTCAGAAGTTTCCATGACCTTCTGAATCCCTTTGGTGCTGATGGCTGATGATAGATGTTGTGGTTTTTGTTCTGTTTGTTTCTTGGAGAAGATAAAAGTCATTTCATTGAGTTGTCTAAACAATGTTGATTTACTCTTGTTGTTGAGCTCCTTGTAACAAGTTTACCTTGCAGAGATGCGGCTATTTATGGTAGCAAATATTTCCAGAACTGATGTATAACTAGTGACTAAATTCTTTCTCATCCTAATCTTTAAAACACACGAAGTTGATCTCAACAGTGCTGTTTTTCAAAAATGTCTGGTACAGGAGCCCGATGCTGGAAAAACATTTCATACAGCTGACCTGGGTAAAGTGCAGCCCTCCAAATGTTCCTGAACTGCAAATCCCAACATTCCTCACTGCGTGGGCTAGGCCCAACTCTCCTCACATTATTGGCTGCGTGGGCTAGGAATTATGGGAGTTGCAGTTCAGCAACATCTGGAGGGCCGCATTTTGCCCACCCCTGTCATACAGTATATGCCAGATACTTCTGTCCTTCTGTTATGCAGATTTTGAACTGGTATTGAATTCCAGAGATATTTCTTGTAATGTGAAACTGGGTAGAACAATGACTTTTGTGGGTGATCACGGAACAAAAGAAGGCTAATTGCCTTAGAGAAAGAACAAAGGAGTCGACAAGCAGATGTCCGAGCCAGCAGAGCCTCAAGGCAACGCCCTGAGAACTCTTTTTATTGACTTAGCATGAGTTACATAGTATGTTGTTAGAATTCAGATAGGATACTAGTTACCTAATCGCCACTAAGATTGGTTGAAATAACTCTTTGATGTTATGCTCTACCTCTAAGCGAAAGGGCAGAATGAGGAGTTACCACCCTGTTGGCAGCTACGAATTCCTGCCAGGAGTGTATACACGTCACTGGAACAGAATGTAGGTACAACTTTTAGGCAGATGACTTCCATGGTTATAGTCCAAATGCTGTTGTTTGATGTATATGTTTTACATACAAAAGAAAACAAAAATACTTATGAACTCTAGTGATTCTGGTCCATTGGTCCCATCTAGTTCAGACCCATGGAAATAAGTGGGATTTGTTTATAGGAATTTAAGTCCTGCATGTTTCAGTGGGTTTCTTTTAAATAGGATGTCTTGCTCAGCTCCTTCAGTTGTCAAGAACCAAAGTGCTGTAGGTCATTTTATTTTTATTCTCAAGCACGTCCTTTATTTGGATTTTGATCTCTAGAGTAGCATTAATAAAAAGCAGACAGAGAGGAAAGGACAAGCATGGCAAATATTTACCTCAACCAAACCTACTAACACACCCATATGCATGCACACATATCATTGTGTACATTTACTGTGTCTCATGGAGAATGTGTACAAAATGTGTATATGAAGAGGAAATTGTGCACATGGTACATATTCACAAATGTCTGGTAGCTGCAGTCCTTTTTAAACTGTTCATTCTTATATGATGTAAGTTGGCTCCCCTTGGTTAAATTCTAATTATTTAATGATATATTTATCTTCCAGATAATGCTGCAGAAGCAGACCTCTGGCTGTTGAACAGTTGCACTGTAAAAAGCCCTGCTGAAGACCATTTTAGAAATTCAATTAAGTAAGTTACTCTCCTTTTGTAAAGAATCTCCATCAGTGAAAAATCTTGTTTGAGGGACAACCCGTAACAATCTGCAATGACTTGACTTTGTACGAAGCAAGATGCATTTATACAATGCACACAAAATTGTATTACTGTAAATTAAAGCGAATTAGAGTGAATTTTTTGTTAAATTGAAATATAGAAGTGATGTTTAATCCACTGTGACACTGACCCAATGGAAACTAGCAATGTTCCTTATTTTATCAAGTGCATGTATGTGATCTTCTTCCAAAATTCATTGGATTCCCCACCCCCACCAGGGGCTGCGTCCTGCTGCTGCCTTTTTCTGTAGAATTACTGCCCCATTATCCAGATGTGACAGAACTGTGGCAGGGAATGTAATAGTATTGAAAAAGAAGATGTGTGCTCCCTGCATTCTTTGTTAAAGAAAAATGCAGCTTTTCCAGTTGCCATCAGATGGCCAACGTTCGGTGGCATTGGCAGATTTTGGAGACCATAAAGAGAGCAAGGAGGCCTTCATGTAGTACATATGCTGCCCATCTCTGCATTAAGACAAGTTATAGCATCTGCTGAGGTACAATAACAGAATAGGGTCATGTTCTTAAGCATCTGGAAATATAGATAGATGCCTCTCCATTTGAATGTTTTGCATGTTCCACAGTCTTTGTAGAGAAATGGCTCCTAGGTTTTAGTCATATAATCCTTCAATCCTATTGTTTGTATTTAAATGTAAACATAATGGCTTAAATCCTGTTGCACTTGGCATAGAGCAACAGTATGCCTGCAGATGTTTACAAGGTATTACACCCAGGCATCCTTATTGTGTGCCTGGTTGTGCGATTGTTATTCAAAAGCTAGCTGTGTAGTGCACCTATGGGACTCTTTGCTAGATATGAATTCCACGCTGGTGCAGATTTCGCAACTAGTAATACAACTTTGAGTTATGCAGGTGTAGCTAAGCAACAACATCTTGGCCAGTGGATGCAAGTTAGAAATTGAGATAATTTTAATAAAAATCTTGACAGTTATCAGCGAATGACAACTATGGAATTGTGGCCAGCAAGCCAAATCAATTATGAACCTAACTAGGAATTGTTTATCCCTTGGTTATTATTGTTGTTAAATAGGGATGAGAATAGATGGAAGCCTAGCATGTGTGTATTGTAAATTAAATCTTGCCTGTTAGGTAAAGATAATATCTTTACAAATCTATCACATGGAAGTTTATGCAATCAAACGTTTAGTGCAGTGTGCAGATGGGTGTCTATTGAGCTGTACTTATAATTCCAGTTAAGCTGCTGTTGTGCTCAGAGAAATAAAGCAGGAAGAAGGGGAGTTGGATTGAACTGGTGCTTTAGCTAGGAGATTAACAATGAATTATTTCTTTTCTCTCTTACATTGTGTGCCCATTGTAGACCTGAAGCACTAGCAGCCTGGCAATAAGTTAGCTTTTCAAAAAAATCTTGGTTCCCTAAACACCAGCTGTTAATGTGCTGTTAGGCAATAATAATGGTAGGCTAGCCAAGTATCCTGATATCAGATGTACCAGTTGGGTTCCAGCTGTTACAGGAAGGGGTATGTGGGGGTGAGTGTGTGTTTTTTGCAACAGTGTGTTGCATACATTGAAGTAGATGGGCGAAAATACAATATTCCTTAGGGATATCTTTTTATGTCTACAGTGTAACTGAATCTGATTTTAATTAGGACTGGAACATTTACTGCTTCACAGAATTACACAGCACTCTTGTCTTTTGTAATTTTGAAGAAGATATGTTCTTGAAGGCTTTCATGTCTGGGATCCGATGGTTGTTGTGTGTTTTTTGGACTGTTTGGCTATGTTCTGCAGGTTTTTCTTCCTAACATTTCACCAGTTTCTGTGGCTGGCATCTTCAGAGGACAGGAGCTAGAGTTCTGTCTCTGTTCTGGTGTAGCGTGTGGGATGGTTGAGTATTTGTAGCTGTGGGATCAGGTGTTTTGTTCTTTTCAGGAGGTTGGGTGTTTCCTGTGATCATGGTGTTTTTTTGTTATGGTGTTTTGTTGTGATAAGATGATCTGTCACTGTGATTCTTCTTTCTTTCTTTCTTTCTTTCTTTCTTTCTTTCTTTCTTTCTTTCTTTCTTTCTTTCTTTCTTTCTTTCTTTCTTTCTTTCTTTCTTTCTTCCTTTCTTCCTTTCTTCCTTTCATTTATATCCCGCAAGTCTACTCTGGGTGGCTAACAACACTCTAAGAATAATAAAATAAAATAAGAACACGGCCAAACAGCCCGAAAAACCCACAGCTACTATTTGAAGAAGATAGTTTACCTCTGCTAAAAGATCTGTATGGGCTTCCACTTTGTTTCCAGATCTAATTCAGGATGGTATTTTTGGCATATGAAATGCTTAGTGCCATGTGATCTTGATGTCCAAGAGGTCATCATATTCTCCCACAAACAACACTAACTGTCACATAGAGACTGTGCAAGAGGGGAGAGAATTCCTACTCAAAACCACTGGGAGCCCTTAGCAACCTCTGTGTTATGTTTCCACCTGTCTCTTGGTTGTTTCACCAAGCAAAGGCACAAGCTACGTGTCATTCAGCTGCCACCAGTTGATTACATCGACTTTATACACTATTAATGACAGAGGTCTGGGCAACATATCATTTAAGAACCAAGTAGAATTTGTTTATTGTTACAAGTGTTAAAAGTCCAGTCAGTGTTAATTCTCAGCGAAAACAACCTTCTTCTTCCACTCTCAACCATCTACTCTCCTCTCTCACTCTCTTCTGTTCTTCACCCTCACTTAACTCCGCCCCCACGAACTCCTATTCGTGCATGCAAATCTCAACATGAATATTTATGAGCAGGGTGAATGCTACACTCTGCTTTCAAAATGTCTTTTTTTAAATAATGTTTTTCTTCTCTTTTACAGTACTATATATTGTAGTTCCACAAGGACAGTACTCTTTTTATATCTTTTGTGTCGACCCATTGGAGTACGTGAATGTCATCTTAGGGAGGCACTGGAGCTCAGAAGGGCTTGGATGGTGGTGGCATTCTCCTTTCCTTATTTTTCTGTGCAAGGGGAAATGAATACAGCATTTTTATCTGCCTATTTTTGTGGTAAAGGGACCCTGAATTTTGCGTACTGTCATGTGACCCCAGTATCTATGTGTGTGAAATAGTGTTTTATATGTCAGAAGATGTATGGATTCTTCATTTGGAAGCACAGTCTCATGGAGTCTCTCTCACTGACATCCCCAATAGTTGGCCAGAGCTTGGAAAATCTGGTGTTTTTGAGCGGTTATCTATGCAGTCATACAAGTTCCTCACTTTCCTGTCTGATGGAACCTCTTAGTTATTTGACATATCTGAAATAGAGACTCTTTGAGCAGAAAGACCCAAGAAAGAATGGGTTTGTCCCACAGTACCCTGTGGTCTATGTACATAGAGGCAAAGGAAGAGGAGAGGAAGGAGTATAAGATTCTGACAAAAGCCTTACAAAGTGCCCGGTATATACTGTGCAGGCAGATAGGACAATTGTCTGACTGCACAGGCAAACATTCAGAGCAAACAGTTGAAGCAACCTGATGTAGCTGAGAGTTATTTTCTGTTTGGATATAAAGGAATATATTCTTTTAGTGAACTCTAATAAACATTGTCTGATGCTTCTGATAATCAAATTATATGAAAATCAAGGTGACACTACATTGGCATTCACCCAAATTCAGTTAGACTGCAAGACTTTATAACCTTGCAGAGAACCATCCGTTTTAAGTGTGAATTTTTTTTGTTTTTTATGGTGGGACTACTCAGTTCAAAATACAGATTTAGGATGAATTTGCACCTTGAGCAACGGTAAGTGGGGTGGTAGTACAGAAAATGTAACAACATATCCCACCTATCAAAATTGTGAGGTTAGTTAATATCAAAATATACATTAGGATAGAAACATTAATGGAGTACAGTTGAACTAAGGCTTAAGGAACCCAGGTTAATTTTACTTATTCCATTTATATACCACCTTTTGGTAAAAGGACACTCAAGAACTGTATAAAACTTAGTTACAGTTCTAGAAGAGGCAGCCGTGTTAGTCTGTGCAAGCATATTGGGCAAAATCTAAAGAAACAAACAAAACAACAAAACAACAAAAAAGAGCCAATGAATGTTTAGTATGATTTACTTGTGTATTGGTATTTTATCCAGGATTTAATCCCCCCCCCCGTAAGTCTGACAAAGTGGACTTGCCCATGAAAGCTCACATTAAAATATAATAGTCTTTGAGGTGCTGCATGTTTTTGTTTTCTTTTCTTTTGTTTCTTTGGATTTTGCTAGGTATGAAACTTAAGCTGTAAGGCAGTAAATTTACTTCAATAATTAAGAGGCGGAACCAGAACATCCACAACAACTATAAATAACATTGGAACAAATGATTTAAAATGTTGAGATTCTTGGGCAAAATGTTTTTTCTTGCATCAAAAAGGCATCAAATTTATCCTCAACTGAGCTTCTCCAAGAAGTGAATTTCAGATATTATCCAGTCTTCTGGGATAAATAATCGTGTACATTGGAATCTTACTTTTGATTTTATTCTAAGATGTCCCATAATTTTTTTACATCCTTTTCTAATGAGATTGCAAAGCATATTGACAGGGCTTGAAAATTTTTAGAATGTCTCACCTGTCAGTCAAAATTTTCACCAATCAGCATGACCGGACTATAGCCTTGCAATTTATGTTAACAAATTTAAACTAGGCACTTGTTCACTTTTATTTCTACATAACAATGCATACAAACCCAAAATAAATTGTATTACGTACACGGGAATCACTGATTTATAAGCTCAAACTTGGGTTGCTTTATTTACCTGCATGCCTGCGGGGTCATGAAGCTTGTATTTTGAATGCCTTTCTTTTGAATTTCTCCAGCAAAAATAAAACTGAAAGCGAAAGTGCTCGGCCTCTTAAGGACCCCGAGTTCCCTCCCACCCCAGGATGTGTCCTCATTCGGTTGAAAT